CTAATCTTAAGATTGGAATCATAGAATTTAGAATTTTAATGCCAAAAGAAAGCTCCAAGTCTCTCCTCTTACAGATAAAGAAACTCAGGACCAGAGGATTAAGTGATTTTCCCCAAATTACTTAGCACATTCCATGATTTCTTTAAGTATATATTATTTCTTAACCCTGAAGCCTCCTCTCATTTCCTTTAATAAATCTCTCATCCTATCTATGACCGTAATATTTGTGAAGAAATTTGAACCAGAAAAGGATCCTGCATATTCCAGTGAAACGGAATTTTCAATCTCAATGAAACTGAAAGTTCTTTAAGGAGAAGAACCTTTATCTTAGTGCCTATAAAAGGACCCTCTGTATGCTCACAGTCTAAAATAACTGATGGGCTGATCAACTGATGGTTAACTAAGAGGTTAATCAACATAGTTCTCTGCCCATCCTATAGTTACCTATTGCCAAATGAATGCATACATAGTAGATCCTAACTGTTAAGAACATAATCTTTCCCTCCACCACAGCATCAGTCAAAGAGAACTGCCCATCAAACCAAAAGGAACAGTTGCTAGGGAACCCTGGAACATGCCAACACAAAGGGACCCCAGCACTGCTGTTCCCTATCATGATAGCTGTTGACTGACTCTACCCCCTACCCATCTTACCCACACTCCCTTTACTTGTCTCTGGGATCAACCAAACCTTCTCTAGATCTTTGATGCTAATAGGTGAAGACATATAATTGAAGAGCACTAAGCAGAGATACAAAAGCAAAAAGATAATCTTAGTGTGACCTGGCTCTCAGGATTTATAAACAGACTTAAAGTCCTGACCAGTGCTGGGAGACACCAAACAGTCAAAGATGCAAGTTAAAGTGAGGATAGCAAGACAATAAAAGGCAGAGACCCTGTAAAATGCCAAGTGGGACGCTGAATCTTATACCCCATCAATCCCCCTTTAGAAGTTACAGTTCTTGGCTGGGTGCAGTGTAATTCCAGCTTTAATCTCAGCATCTTGGGAGGCCGAGGTGAGAGGATTGCCTGAAACCGGGGGTTCAAGACCAGCTTGGACAACATGGCGAGACCTCGTCTCTATAATAAATCACACACACACACAAAAAAAAAAAACTAGCCAGGCATGGTGGCATGCGTTTGTAGTTCCAGCTATTTGGAAGGCTTAGGCGGAAGGATTGCCTAAGCCCAGCAGGTCAAGGCTGCTGTGGCTGTAAGCGTGTTACTGCACTCCAGCCTGTGTGACAAGAGTGAGACTCCAACTAAAAAAAAAACCAAAAATAAAAATAAAGAAGTTACAGTTCTTCAATACTCCATAGTTCTAGTTATCTAGACTTGAAGCTTTGGAGTCTTTTCTGACATCTCCACCTTCCGTGACCCTCATCTAATCCGTCCCCAAACCCCATCCCTTCATCCCTTCTATTATCCATCTACTTTCCTATGGTATTAAACTACTGTATCCAGGTTAAAGCCCTTATCACTTCTCACCTGGGCCATATCATAAACTCCTAACTGGTCTTCCTGTTTTTTTCAATCCATCCCACACACCACAGTCTAGGATAACCAACTTGTCCCAGGTTTTTGAGAACTATCTCAATTTTATCACCAAAAGTCTCATGTCCTTAGTCCCAGACAAATTGAGATGGCCGGTCACCTACCACAGTCAAGTTAAAAATTTTCCCCCAAACAATAAATTGATCATGTCATTTTCCTGACCAAAATCCTGCTTCCCATTTCTCATTAAAATAAACCCTAAAGTAGGTCCTAAATTTGCCTCAGGGAACATATCAGAAAGCATATATGGCCGGGGTGAGAAAGCAAGTTTGCCAGGGCTGGCTTTAGTTATACCCTGTGAAACCCTTGGCAAGCCACTCATCTAGCTGAATTTTACTTTTCTCATCTATAGAATTAAGAGGCTGAGAGTGGATTTCCCTTTCAGTTCCAAAATTTCCTAGTCTACTCTTCTAAATATCCTCTGCTCCAGCCACTTATCAGCTCACTCTAATCCAAACACAACATATAAATGTTTGCCTTAGTATCTTTGAGGTTTCTCCCCACTCAGAAATTCTCTGCTTTCTTCTCTGCCCACCTGAATCCTTTGAGGAACAACACAAATCTCACTTTCTGAGGGATGCCCAGGCTCGGTTATGAAGACTTCATCCACATGCGCCTGTTTTCTAATACTCAGCACTTAGCATGCCCTACCTTGGTGTTCAAAATCTTTTTTTATGTGAAGCCTCTTTATTCCAATGAACTAAAATCTTTCTGCCCCTTTGTGACTCTCTTGCAGTATCGTGAGTACATAGTAAACAATAGCAAGTTTATTATAATAGGAAATACTAATAACTGATTAGTTGATGGATGCACAGGAAAAAGTCCAACCAGGGATCTAAAAGTGAGGCAAAAGTAGAAATACAGGTGAATCTAGAATGTTTTGCACCTAACACAAATTCTCTAATGTTTGCATCATCTAGTAATTAACTTATCCCAAAAAATTTGCTAAGAATCTCCCATGGTCAAGACACTGTGTCTTGGGTGTGGAGATGAAAACAAACAGAGGCCCAGGTCTCTGACAGCATTTCTGTCTCACAGATATCATGAACTTCCACACTGTACCTCAACTCTGACTTTTTAGTGAAACTTGAGACTCTAATGGTGGCAATCCCATCATCGGCACTCCCCATCCCCCAAATTGACCATGTAGTACTTCTGTCACTAACCTATGGAACTGTTAAGTGAGAAAAAAAAAAGCAAATCGAAATATATCAATAGATTAATACATAAATATTATTTATACAAACAAGAGATTTGCCTAGGACAAATCTCTTTCAGGAATTATATTCTGGCCAAATAAATAGACTCTAGTTACAACTTTGACAGATTTTTGTAACATGACTATATAGTTATTCTTCTTCAGTATGAGTTGACTATTACCCTCTGTTACTATTGGCAAGTGACACATATTAAGGATGAACTCAACAATATGTCTGTCTTTGGGATCCTCCCCCCACAACATGTATGCATACACACACACACACACAGACACACACACAAACACACACACACACACACACAGACACACACACACACTTCCCTAATTAAATCGGGCAGGGACTTGAACAGTGTAACCTACTTTAACAACAAACAGGTTCATGAGCAAATGGGGGAAGTAAATAAACCAAACGGTTTGCAGAGGGAGAGGTCAAGTTGGGCTGAGCTGGGTTAGGCCCAGAGTGATTCAGGCTCTGCCACAGATTGGGTGTCTCCTGGGATGGCCTGGTAGAATAATTAAAACCCCTATAAATAGGATGGGTTTTCAGGTCTCCAGTGTCCTCTCTGGCTTCTGAATTGTCTGCTTATTCCTCTTCAAGCAGGTAAGACATGCATGAGGGAGCAATGGTAGTATCTGCGAGACTCTTGAGCGTAGCTACAATGTGCTAGTTTGGGGAGAACTGAGACTATTCCCTGTGGGTGATAGCCTGGGGTATCTTTCTGCTTCCTTTTCCTGGCTCTGTCTGAGAATATGATGATAGCTGGGGTGGCCTACTTCTGTACCTGTAAAACACAAGTGCCTTTGCTTCAGTGTGTTGTAGACATCCCAAAACTGAGGGCTAGGACTGTTAGCTAATAGCTTAGTCTCCCACAGTGGGTATTTACTTTTTGTGCAAATTAGACAAGACCTAAGAATTTAGGGCTTATCAGGGCCAAGACTCTGGACCATGGGGCCCAGCAATAGTCCAGTCTCGTTGCAATAAATTGCCACAAAGGATTTAGCTTGTCCCATATAATCCATTACCTGCCATTTATTCTTATAGACAGTACTGTATAGTTTTGGAAGTCCAGCGTGCTCTGCAGTTAGGTTTCGATCTGGAGGCCTCTAAACCCAGTGATTGGAGTTTTCATAGCACAAGAAAAAGTATTATTCAGATCCTGACCAGGGTGATGGCTTACACCTGTAATCCCAGCACTTTAGAAGGCCAGGGCAAGAGAATTACTTGAGCCCAGGAGTTCAAGACCAGCCTGGGCAACATATTGAGACCTCATCTCTACAAACAATAAAAAAATTAGCTGGGCATGGTGGCATCCTCCTATTGTCCCAGATACTCAGGAGGCTGAGGAGGAAGGATCACTTGAGCCCAGGAGGTTGGGGTTACAGTACGCTGTGATCACACCACTGCCCTCCAACCTAGGCAACAGAGTGAGACTCAAAAAACAACAAAAAGACCCAGATCCCAAAAGATCTAAGCCTCTCAGCACAGCCAGGGTGAACCTAACTAATTATATATACCTCCTATCATCTGTTCCACGTATCCATTTGGCTGTGTATCCATTTGCTATTTTGATCTGTAGCAGTTTTTGCATTCATTGGTTTCATTTTATAAGCATGTCCCAAAATGACTACACAGGCAAGAAACACTTGCTGGAATTTAGCCTCCCAGAAAGATTCCTTAGACCATACAGGGTTGGGTGCTTGGTTTAATTTGGTCATGCTCCACTTTCAAGCATTCTTCCTTGTTTGAGAAAGTCTCATTAGAAGACTGAAACCTGTTCAGAGAGATCTACTTAGTATCCCCTTTAGTGTGCTAGTTGTTGGTGGAAAATTATGCCCTACTATGCTGGCTTCTGGTCCTGTTTCTATAGGCTTCCTGGCTTCCTTTCTTATTGTTCTAATATAAAAGTTTCAATTAAACAAGTCAAGCCTGGAGTAGAGGCTAGGGTATGTAAAACACCTACCATGCATTTTTGGCTTTTTAGGAAATTGCCTTGTTTCTAACAGGGTAACCACAGTTTGCATGCAATACTCACTGTATCACATGATATTTGAAGCCTGACTGAGAATCAAAGTAATGGAGGGGTATAGCTAAGATGGGGCTTCATTTCTTAAGCTTCTTTTCCAGACCAAGAGGAATCACTTTCCTTTTAAAAGTGCTACCCCCGTCTTCATCCTAAGCACAGATCAAATCTTGTTTCTTCTTTTAGGTTCACCTGCATCTGCCAAAATGTCTCAACTCCTGAACAGCGTACTCAATGTGATCAAGGTGTTTGACAAATATGCCAAAGAGGATGAGAACTGTGCCTCGCTATGCAAGGAGGAGTTGAGGCAGCTGCTCTTGACTGAGTTTGGAGACATCCTCCGGGTACGATATACAGACACATGGTCCCATGAAGTCAAGTATGAATGTCTCTGACACCTGCATACAGGGTTGGGTGCTTGGTTTAATTTGGTCATGCTCCACTTTCAAAAGAATTTCAAGTAACTCCTTAGTAGTTCTCTCCCAAGACACACACACACACACACACACACACACACGCACACACACACACACACACACACACTCCTCTTTTGTATCAGAGCTTGTATGGGAAGGAGTACAATTTTAAAGTAACAGGGGATGACTTATCAGAAAAGAAATGAGATTCATATCTTGATTTCTATATTTTAGTGCTGTTCATACATTGTCTCATGCATCCAGTCATTCATTTTATTAATGAATAAAGAGTCATTGAGCACCCACTCCATACCAGTACCATCCTAGGCACCAGGGATACAAACACGAATAAAATTGGCTTTCTCTCCTTCTGGGATCTCACCGTGTGTGAGAAAAAAGGAGGTATAAAACAATTAGAATATAACCTGTGGTAGGATGAGAGAGCTGTCTCAAATTACTCGAATTAATTATTAATGGAGTTGATTTCTTTTTTTTTTTTTTGAGTTGGAGTCTCACTCTGTCGCCCAGACTGGAGTGTAGTGGCCGCTCCCGGCCACCGCAGCCTCGACCTGCTGGGTTCCAGTGATCCTTCCACCTCAGCCTTCCAAGTAGCCAGAATTACAGGCATGCACTATCACGCCAGGCTGATTTTTTTATTTATCGTAGAGATGAGGTCTCTCCAAGTTGCCCAGGTCGGTCTCGAACCCGCGGGCTCAGGCAATCCACTCACCTCAGTCTCCCAAATCGTGGGATTACAGGCTGAGCCACCAAGCCCGGCTTGATTTCATTTTTAAGATTTTAATTCCTTGAAATTTCTCTCTCTCTCTCTCTCTCTCTCTCTCTCTCTCTCTCTCTCTCTCTGGTAGAGATGAGGTCTTACTATGTTGCCTAGGCTAGTCTCAAACTCCTGGGCTCAAGCAATCCTCTCACCTCAGTTTCTCAACGTGCTGGGATTGCAGGCGTGAGCCATCATGCCCAGAATCAGAAATGATTTTAAATGTCAGCTTTTATTAGCCTAGTAAGGGATGAGGTTCTGAGAACCAGCTGATCAAACTAGAACCAAGCCCAAGCCACTTCTGAACCAGGAAGGCCCATGCAGGACTAAATGGATTGGGGCGTGAACTTTGATACACATGTTAATATTCAAAGGACAGTAGCTGATTTTGTTCTGTTTTATCTGCTCACAGAGACCAAATGATCCAGAAACTGTGGAAAACATCCTAAACCTCTTAGATCGAGATAGAGATGGATATGTTGATTTTCACGAATACCTCTTGTTAGTGTTTCAGTTGGTCCAAGCCTGCCATCGTAAGCTAGATAGTAAGTCATGTGGAGACAGAACCTCCCAGCAAGAAAGGAGGCAGGAAAGAGAAAAAGACCACAAGTTTCCAGGAAATATAGGCAGACAACACAGGCAGAGGCATGAGGAAGAACAGCAGAACTCCCACCACAGTCAGTCTGACAGACACAATGATAGGGACTCCCACTATGATCAGTCTGAGAGACAGGGTCAGGACTCCTGCCATGGTCAATTAGAGAGACAGGGTCAAGACTCTCACTATGGTCAGCCTGAGAGACAAGATAGGGATTCTCACTATGGTCAGACTGAAAAACAAGACCAGGACTACCACTATGGTCAGTCTGAGAAACAAGATAGGGATTCCCACCATGATCAGTCTGAGAGACAAGACAAATATCACAGCTTTGATCAGTCAGAGAGACAAGATCAAGACTCCAGCTCTAGTAAAAGACTGAATCATAAATCTGGTAGTGGCCAGCCTAAAAGTCAAGGATATGTCTTTGCCTTAAATGAGTGTGAAAAACCAGCTCAGGGTTCTCATTGTGGTCAGCCTGAAAGACTTGGACAACAATCAAGATGTGGCCAATCTGGAAGACTTGGACAAGACTCTTGCTATAGTCAGACATCAGGCTCTTATTATGGACAGTCTGGGAGGCTGGGTCAGGAATCAGGCTGTAGTCAAAGAGATAGGCAAGAATTGGTTTCTCACTATGATCAGACAGACAGACAAGGCCACAGTTCCCACTATGGTAAGACAGATAGACAGGGCCATAATTCTCACTATGGTCAGACAAGCAGACAAGGTCTGAGCTCTCAGTATGGTCAGACAGATAGACAGGGTCAGAGTTCTCACTATGGTCAGACAGACAGACAAGGCCAGATTTCTCACCATGGTCAGGCAGACAGACAAGGCCTGGGTTCTCAGTATGGTCAGACAGACAGACAGGGCCAGAGATATCACTATGGTCAGACAAACAGACAAGGTCAGAGTTCTCATTATGATCAGACAGAAAGACAGGGTCAGAGTTCTTATTATGGTCAGACAGATAGACAGGGCCAGAATTCTTACTATGGTAAGACAGACAGACAGAGCCAGAGTTCTCACTATGGTCAGATAGACAGACAGGGCCTGTGTTCTCACTATGGTCAGACAGACAGGCAAGGCCAGAGTTCTCACTATGATCAGAAAGACAGACAGGGCCAGATTTCTCACTATGGTCTGACAGACAGACAAGGTCAGGGTTTTCACTGTGGTCAGACTGACAGACAGGGCCAGAATTATCACTATGGTCAGACATATGGACAAGACCAGAATTTCTACTATGGTCAGTCACAGACTGGAGAAACTGAAACACAAAGGCAAAATAAGTACTTCCAAGGGACCAAGGGAAGAAGAAGAAGAGATGAAAATGTTGAGCAGTCAGGAAGATCAGGAAGACTAAGTCAACAGACACCAGGAGAGGAAGTGTACCAAAGTCAGGGACAGGGTTTTCAAACTAGGGATGTGCAGCAGAACAGCCCCCAAGTATGGGAGCCTGAGAAGTATAGCCAACGCCATCAACATAAGCTCTTAGCACAAATCCAGCAAGAAAGACCACTCTGTAACAAAGAGAGAGACTGGCAATCATGCAATAGTGAGCAAGACCACAGACAGGCCCAGACAAGGCAGCACCATGATGAGGAGCAGAGTCACTGGGCGGAGGAATTGCAGGGTCATCAAAGCTGGAGTAGACAAAGTCATGAGGGTCAGGAGAGTCCATATGAGGCACAAGATAGGCAAACTCATGAAGAGGAGCAGAACCACCAGCGACGAGACAGGCAAACCCACACAGAGGAGCAGAACCACCAGAGACGAGACAGGCAAACCCATGAAGAGGAGCAGAACCATCAGAGACGAGACAGGCAAACCCACGAAGAGGAGCAGAACCACCAGCGACAAGACAGGCAAACCCACACAGAGGAGCAGAACCACCAGAGACGAGACAGGCAAACCCACAAAGAGGAGCAGAACCATCAGAGACGAGACAGGCAAACCCACGAAGAGGAGCAGAACCATCAGAGACAAGACAGGCAAACCCACGAAGATGAGCAGAGCCATCAGAGACAAGACAGGCAGCCCCATGAAAAGGATCAAAACCATCAACAACACAGGCAAAACTATGAGGAAAAAGAGAGGTATCAAGAATCCCAGGATCAACAGACCCAAGGGGCCCAGCAAGGCTATGCTAGTAGAGAAAAATTCCACATGAATGAAGATGACCAGAGCAGAAGCTCACAGGGAAGACAGAGTGAGTCAGCCTTCCATCCGACCCAGGGCAGTGGGAAGCCCCAAAGAAGAGAACAGGGTGGTCACCCTACCAAAGCAGCTCTTGCCCCCAACCCCCTTTATGACTATGTGCAAGAGCAGAAGTGGCATCAGTACTAGGCTATGTGAGAACCAGAGCTAAAACAATACAAAGCCAAATAAGAAACCTACATGTTAAGTTCATCTTTACTTCTGTTTAAGATGTTGAAAATGTATGTCTCCCCTCTCCCCTCTACTCTTTTACCTGCAAGGATGTTTTTGAGGACTAGTATTCACTTTAGGACTTTTCAGATCTTTAAGAAGCAAGTATATGGTTTTTTTGGTTAGGTGAAATCTAAGTGACAAATTGGGTGAAATTGGTCAATTTGGGGATTTAAATCATTTCCTGGTTTGCCCTCTTTATAGATGTGTTCTGGTTGAATAATTGAAAGAATAATTCTCCCTAAAGTTCAGAAACAGGAAAAAGATTCTAAAGATTTAAGTTGCAACCGAGGAGAGGAAACCTGGGCTTTGTTGAACTTTGTCTTCCTGATGGATAAAACATCAGGAATTGCAAGCCTCATAGTCTAGACTAGAATGAAGCTCAGTTCAAAGCTGCTAAGAGAGCCAGAGACACAGAATACATCTTTGATATGGACAACATCTCCCGTGCCAGGCTTTCACTCCTTACCAGGGAGACTATCCAGTGAGCACCTGTCACTAGAGCTAACTGGAGTCATTCTAATTTGATGCCTTTCTAGTTTCTGATCATATAAAATAGAAAGTATATATCATATGTTTACAGATTCCAACAGACCAAAAATATCAATCCATATCTCTCAACGTGTGAAAACCCTGCTCAAGAAAATCTATGTATAGACTATGGAATTGTATTAAACACCCAATAAATGATTGGTGAGCAATGACTTTAATGACTCTTTCCCTTCTTTGCTGTGGGACCATGCTATCTTCACTTGTGAGCCATTTTCTAGAAATAAGACCTCATGTCTTGACTTCTAAAGTCTCTTTGTTCCCTGAGTTCCTAGGCACTGAAAAAAATAAGAATCAATACAAAACAAATCACTGAGTCAAAATGGAATTTATCTGAATATAATTTTCAGCTCCCCTCCCCCCCCATGGAGTCACATTTGACCCTTACCACCCATTCGCCACCACATTCAAACGGTCATTAAGATTTTCCAACTCTACATTCTCCACAAATCCTGAATTTTTTAATCACATCTCCATCTACACTGCCTTAATATCCTTTCTCCTCAGTGGATCCCCAGTGACTTGAGAATAAAGTTCACACTCCTTAACATGGCACATAGGCCCTTCACTATCTGATTCAGATAACCTAAACAGCCTAGTCTCATGAGTGCCTTCTCCCAGGAGTATCCAATGCTAGAAAAACAAAGACTGAGTAGACATAATCTTTCATGAATTCATAATTTTTAATATATCATCCCATCAGCCTGTAATTCCTCCCTGCCACTTTCTGCCTGGCAAAAGTCTAGGCATCCTCTGGGTCCCAACTAAAATATCATCTCTTCTAAGAAGCCTTCCTGGACACTCCAAGGACTGCTTTCTCTAAATTCCCACTCATTTCTGTTACATCACTTGGCCCACACTACTGCAATTATAGAAAACACAGGTATAGACAAGAGAGACTGAATAAACCACCATTTAGTCAGGGCACAATGAATAAAACAGTAACCTTTTTAGGTATTTTAAACAATAAGGGATTTAATGCCTAGAATGATTAAGTGTCGATTTATTAGAAATTAGCGGCAACAACAACAAAAAGCAGAAGTGCCATGATGAGCCAACCGGACAGCAGAAAAGGGCATGAAGGGCAGGCGGGTGGGCATGCCTTTTCAACCTGGGTCCAGAAGGGTGATGTGGCTGGGGCAGCGCCGGCCTCACTATGTCTGCCATTTTCAACTTTCAGAGTCTGTTGACTATAATCTTGCCGCTTATACGTTCCTGTGCTTACATCCACTCCTCTGCACCGAGTCTCCTGGACAGAAATAAAACTGGATTGCTGGGTATATTTTGGAAGTGTGCCAGAATTGGTGTGTGGAAGATCCCCTTGTGTTCTGTGCAGTGATGGCCTTCGGCGTCCCCTTCATACAGTAGCTTGGGGAAACGCTAGAGTGTCATTGTCATCAGAGTTCAGTGTGAACAAGGATTTGTTGTGGAAGATAATGGAAAGCGTGGTGAACCCTTGATCTCTGAGCATTGAATAAGATACACTTCAGGTGCTGTTCTCTATTTCGAACCATTGTTCTGTATAAATAATTAAGATGTAACCATTTAATACTCAGAGTTTAATAGTCTGTGACAATCAGTCTCAGCACTGTCACTACAATATTACACTCTGCAAATGTCATTCTGTTGTGTCAGATACTGAATTTTAGGAAGGTATCTCCAAGGCACATAATAGAAAACAAAATTAGTAAATTACTCAATCTCCTTTCACTGTGATTTGGAAATGACAAATCTTTATAGAATGAGAAATTTTCTTGGACTAGCTTTTTTATTGAGTAAAAAATGGTTCAGTTTGTGTTGGTAAAGAAAGAAAAAGAAAGAAAGAGAGAGAGAGAGAGAGAGAGAGAGAGAGAGAAAGAAAGAAAGAAAGAAAGAAATAAATAAATAAATAAATAAATTAGCAAACAACCCCTGGAACTACTGAGTTCAATACATTACCAGAGCTGCAATCCAGGAATCAGAAACAGGATCCAAAAGCTGCTGGCACTGCTGCCAAAATTGCCTATCAACATTCGTGTCTCTAAGACTTTTTTTGCCAAAAGAAACAGCCGAAATCACAGCTCCAAATCACTCTTCTAAATATTATGCAAATGCACGTAGTTGGAAGTATATTAATTTAATTTACATCCAGAATTCCAGTTGCAAGGAGGTCTAAGAAATACAGACATATAAGAATGAATGCTAGGACCATTGGATTGTATTATTGACTATAATAATGCCTATCAACAGCTGCTCTCTTCAAGGAAATTAAAATACAGTAAGAAAAATATGTACAGAAAGCAACCATTATGCAAGGTACAATGTCATAAGTACAAGAAAATTGCTGTTTTAACACCAAGAAGGGAGAAGTGGCTATACCTGGAAAGACTGAGAAAGGTTCTCATAGAGGGGAAGCATCTAAGTTATGAACCTTGGGGAGAGGGGAATGAGAAGGACCATGATTTGTCCTGAGTCTCAAGATCAGTGGGATTTCCCACATTTTGGCTGCTGTTTAAATGACGTATCTGTTCAGGAATAAGCTGAGTCTTCTTAAAATATTCTCTATTACTTAGACTCTCCCCAACAAGCTAAATCAGAAGGCAGAGAATACAGAGGACAAAATCTGGAAGCTGCTCAGAACCCATGGAGGCACTCAGTGGGTCATCCACACTGCCAAAGCCTAGGAGACATTATTTTTTGTAATCATTCTCTCTCTCCAAATCAAACTCATCGGCAAGTCCTTTTTTTCTGTTTCAAAATATAGAACTGCTCAAATTCATCGTCCTTTTCATCTCTGTTCCTATCATTTCAGTCCAGGCCACCACCATTCCTAGAATACAGATTCCCAGTGGGGCTCCCTATCCCTTTAAAAAATGTAGACCACATCATGCCACTCCTTGCTTAAAACGCTCAGTAGTTTTCCTCCACAATGAGAATAAGATCCTACTTCTTTCTCAGGGCCTTCCCAAAGAAGGCATTTCTGCCTGACCTCATCTTTCACCATTCTCCTCTGCATCTTTGTTTTCCAGTCACTCTGGCTTTCCTTCCATTATTCTAGGACAAGCTGGTTCCCATGTGGTGATCTTTGAACCAACTATTTTATTTAAAACATTTTTCTCAATCTTTGCATGGCTGACTCTTATTTCATTGAGATCTCAGCTAAAAAGTCATCTTGTGAGAAAGGCTTTCTCAGATATTTAATCTAAAAGACTATCCCTCCAAATCACTATTACATTCTCCTCTTTTTTGTTATTATTATTATTATTTTAAGTTTTGTATTTAATTTTATTTTATTATAGAGATGTGGGGTACAAGTAAGGATTAACTACACAAGTAGGCTGCATGCAGATGAAGTTTGGGCCTCCAACTGACCCTCACTCTCCGTTATAGGACCACCTAGGTACGCTTTGGGTTGTTAAGTAACACCCCTTCCTCCCTCTGTCCCCTAGCAGTGCCCAGTGACTGCTGATCCCTCCCTCTTGCTAATGTGATTAATGTTCAGGTCTCACTTATGAGTGAGAACGTGTGGTATTCAGTTCTTTGTTTCTGTGATAGATTACTTAGTATGATGGTCTCCAACTTCATTCAATTTGCTGTGAAGTCCATGATTTTGTTCTTCTTGATGATTGTGTAATGCTCCATTGTATATGTACCACATTTCCTTTATCCAGTCTACCTTTGATGGTCAGTAGGGTTGGTTCCATGCTTTTGTTACTGTGAATCGTATGGCAATAAACATGTGTGTGCAGGTGTCTTTTTGGTATAGAAATTTACATTCTTCTGGTTATATTCCCAGAAGAGGGATTGCTGGATCACATGGAACATCAATTTCTAGTTCTTTTAGGAATCACCACACTGTTTTCCATAGAGGTTGAACTAGCTTGCACTCCCACCAATAGTGTTTCATTTTCTTCACACCCACACCAGCATCTGTTGTTTTTGACTTATTAATAATGGCCGTCCTTACTGGAGATAGGTGGTATCTCCTTGTAGTTTTGACGTGCATTTTTCTGATTATTAGTGAGGCTGAGCATTTTTTCAAGTGCCTGTTGGCCGCTTGTATATCTTCTTTTGAAAAGTGTCTATTCATGTCCTTTGTCCACTTTTTAATGGCTTTCCCCCCTTTCACGTTGTTTGAATTCCTTATAGACCCTGGATGTTAGACCTTTGTCAGATACATAACTTGCAAATATTTTTTCCCATTCTGTGGGGTGTCTCCCACTCTCTTGATGGTTCCTTTTGCTGTGCAAAAGCTTTTCAGTTTGATGAGGTCCCACTTGCCTATCTCAGTTTTTATGGCATTCACTTTTGGGGACTTTGTCAAGAATTCCTTGCTTACTCCAATGTGCATAAGGGTGTATCCTAGGTTTTCTTCTAGGATTCTTATAGTTTGAGGTTTTATGTTTAGGTCTTTAATTCACTAAGAATTGGTTTTTGTATATGGTGATAGGTAGGTATCCTGTTTCATTCTTCTGCATGTGGCCAGTCAGTTTTCCTAGCACCATTTGGTATATATGGTCTACTTTTCCCAGTGATTGTTATTGGTTGTTTTATCAAAGATGAGTTGGTTGAGAGATCAAGTTTTTGCTTCCAGAATTTCTGGCCTGTTCCGTTGCTCTTTGTGCGTATTCTTATAACAATACTGAGCTGTTTTGGTTACTGTAGCCTTGTAGTAAAGCTTAAAGTCTGGAAGTGTGATACCTCCCACTTTGTTCCTTTTGCTGAGGATTGTTTTGGCTATGTGTGTTCTTTTTTTGTTTCCATATGAATTTCTGTATGGCTGTTTCCAAATCTGAGAAAAATTACGTTGGTAATTTGATGGGTATCACATTGAATCTGTAGATTTCCTTGGGTAGGATGAACATCTTGACAATATTGATTCTTCTGACCTATGAACATGGAATGTTTTTCCATTTGTTTGTGTTATCCTTGATTTCTTTGAGCAGCATTTCGTAGTTTTTGTTGTAAAATTCTTTTATTTATCTGGTTAGGTGGATGCCAAGGTATTTCTTTTGTGTGTGTGTGACCATTGTGAATGAGATTGTGCATTTTATTTGGTTCTCTGCCTGCTTGTTGCTGGTGTATAGAAATGTAACTGTCTTTTGCACATTGATTTTGCACCCCAAAACTTTATCAAAGTCAGTTATCAGTGCAAGAAGGCTTTTGCCAGACTCCCTAGGGTTTTCAAGGTATAGAATCATATCGTCCACAAAGAGGGATAGCTTAACTTTCTTTTTGCCTATCTGGATACCCCTGATTTCTTTCTCTTGCCTGATTGCTCTGGCTAGGACTTCCAGCACTATGTTGAACAGGAGAAGTGAGAGTGGGCATACTTTTCTTGTTCCTGTCCTCAGAGGGAATGCTTCCAACTTCTGCCCATTGAGCAAAATGTTGGCTGTGGGTTTAGCATAGATGACTCTCACTGTTTTGAGGAATGTTTCTTCTATGCCTAGGTGTTCAAGAGTTTGTATCAAGAAGGGATGCTGGATTTTGTTGAGTGTTTTTTCTACATCTAATGATATAATCATGTGGCTCTTGGTTTTACATCTGTTGTGCTGGATTACGTTTACGGTCTTGTGCATGTTGAACCAGCCCTGCATCCTAGGAATGAAGCCCACCTGGTCATGATGGATGATTCTTGAGATGTGTTGGATCCAATTTGCTAAAATTTTGTTTAGAATTTTTGTGTCTATGTTCATCAAGGAGATTGGCCTGCATTTCTCTTTCCTTGTCGAGTCTTTGCCAGGTTTGGGTATCAGTATAATGTTGGTTCCATAACATGTGTTGGGAAGAATTCCATCTGTCTCAATTGCCTGGACACTTTCAATAAGACTGGTATTAGCTCCTCCTTGCATGTCTAGTAGAATTCAGCTGGGAAACCATCTGATCTGTAACTGTCAACTGGGGCAGGTTGTTCTGGGGGTTTCCATTGTTTGTGTTCTAGAAGCTGCCTTTTCAAGTGCTGTCTCTTTAGGACTCTGGGAGTTGCCTGTATTTTTTCGTTGATCTTCCCTCATTTGTGACAAGCCTCTCTTCACTCTATAAAATTTCTCTCTGATTTAAAGCTATTCAGTTACCTTCTGTTCTAGAGTCCTTTCTGTGAATCAATATTTGTCATTCAGTGAAAGAGCTAGGAGCATTCACATTGCCTCCTTGCTCCGCCTTGTGGCAGGTTTCTGTAATTGCAGGACTTCTCAATTACAGCTGAACTTGTGGGACCAGCTTTCAGTTCCCGCTATCACTCTGTGGGTAGGGAGCAGGACTGGGGGATGGAGGGGAACCTGGGAGGGGGAATGAATCTCCTGTCTGCTGACTGTGGGCCAGGTGAATTCCCACTGAGAGAGTCTTCGGGTTTCGTTTTGTGTCACATCCTCCCTGTTCAGGTCCGCACTCTGCTCTTGAAATAGAACGGGTTTTCTGCTGTGTGGAGGAGGGCGCAGTCTCCGCCCTGCAAGAATGTAGGGCTTGAGGGGGTTCTTCTCAATCTGGCTGGGGGAATGGCCACTTCTGGGTTCACTCTGCAGGCAGACCCTCCCTGCCCATGAGTCACCAGCCCCGGGAAAGCCAGGCTCACTGCAGCTACCCCAGTGCAGGCCTTTCTCCCATTCCACTTGGGCTGTGGTTGCTCAAAGTCCTGAGCCCGCCTAGAGCCCCTCCCATGTGAGATCAATGACCTATGCATGGCTAGAAGAGGATAAACCATCCCAAAGCCTCTTTGACTCACTAACCCACTTTCTTTGCAGGGCAGGTCTTATGTTCTTGTGCAAGCCTAGGGCATGGTGGAGGATGGGGTGCCCAGATTCCTGCATCCAGCCATTGCTTTCTGGTCTTTATATGCTCAAAGAGACGTTTGCTAGGTGCAAGTGCTTCACACATCCAAGAGTGCCTCCATTTTTC